GTTACGTTCAGCAGCTCTGTATTCTGTATGTATTATGAGTTATTTGTTAGTTAACTGTGGGTTAACCCTTGGGTTGTTACTGAGATAATCACTGATATATACTGTACGTGTTACACAGGTACTGTAGCTAATAAATTCAACAAAGGTTCTTACTGAATCTACAGCTTAGATATAATTATTTAGGTAATTAAAGGGATGAGTTGGCCGCTTGCCTCATAGTGGACAGATAAGGGTTCCAAAGATCTCTATGCCTGGTACAAGGTACTGGCATTATATAAAGGGAGTGAGTAGAGTACATTAAAGGAGGAACTTTACCCATATCTTCACAAACAACAAGAACAAAGGCACCTTTAGAAATGTTTAGCAATGACAATCTACAAACACATACTTCTAGATAATTGCCAGCTTTGAATTCCTTGCATCAGTGTTAATTTAGTTGACTAAAATGTTTTGTCGTAGTTTTCATCATCTGCATGTTTTCACTGATGAAAACTAAAAAAAAAGTTAATAGGACTAAAACTATGATGAAAATACATTGCAATTGTATCTACTGGAGATGTAGTTGGCAAAACTGAACTAAAACTAAAAGAATTCAAATGACTAAAATACGCATTTTAGTTTTAGTCGCATATTAGTCATCTGAATTATTTTCGTTTTAGTTTAGTTTTGTCGACTAAATCTCCAGTAGAAAAAATGGCAATGTATTTTCGTCATAGTTTTAGTCGTATTAACTAGTTTGCAGATGACAAAAACTGTGACAAAACATTTTAGTCGACTAAATTAACACCGCTTTGCATACCCTAGTATGAACATCATCTCAGGGGAGGAAAATGCAATTCCCTGAGATCTTGTAAAATTTCCTAGCAATGCACTGTGATGTAACCTTCCCAGGATGCAACGTTTGGGCACAATTACATCACTTTGCCAAAGAAAACCAGGAAGTAGAAAACAAGAAATTGTTAGTAAAATGAAAATATGTTTAACTAATGTATTTAAGATGATTTAATATCATCATGTAGAGCTGCATGCTGATGTGATTTTTAGTCAAAAGGGGTAAGGGTCCAATACTTTATTTTAACATATTTTAAAAAGAAAATCCCAACAACATGGCAGAATTTAGTCCAGCAATAAAAATAAAAATAATAAACCTAATTGTTAATGAAGTGTTTTTTTTATTATCAGTCACTAGTATTTATAATCAGGGCATTTCAGGATAGAATACATTTCTGTTTTTTAATTATGACAGAAAAAATGAAAACACTCTTATTTTACTACTTTTATATAAAATAAAATAGAAATGATTCTTTACCATTGATTCAGGTATAAAAAAAAGTCTATTTTGCCATAAAAAAAGACTAATAACCTCACCCTAGGAACAAAAGCATATACCATATCGTGCCTGAAAAAAATAAATTGATATATAGAGTGTCTCTCATCCCTGATCAACTTCTAACCTCACAAATATTGCTGTCCTCTGTGCTGGCAGATACTGTATTTTCATGACATCCAGGTTACTACAAACAAAAAATGTGACTAATTCAATGTGACAACAGAATACCAATAAAGAAAAGCCAAACTACTGTTTTCAGGCAAAAGAAAGAAAAGGAAAACAAATTGTGGAAAAATAAATGTATAGCTCTCAACATATAACATACTCATATACAACGCAAATATATAAACACACATATAAATGTTCTGCATACAGTATAAGTAT